TTTTATGTTGATGGGAAAAGAAGATTGGCTTCTGGAACAGCTCATCTCCCAAGAAGATGTGCAGGAAATCATGTGGAAAACTGTAAGAAGGCTTTTAATAAAGACAGGATTCTCAGATTGTGAGGGGAGGCAAAACAGATTATGTTGAGTTTCTGTTTTCATGGTGGAGAAACAAGCCTGAAATCTGGGGTAATAGGTGCTAAAAGGCATTCTGCATACCATTTGGTTTACTTACAGTTTGCAGAGGTAGGCAACAGTCTACCTCTCATATTCTCAGAAATTTTTAAAGCTGGCCAAAGTGGGAACATAGAGTACAATTAACAGCCCAATTTCTGACATAGTCTATCCTAATTTTCATGTGAATAGCTGCTGAGAGCCAGGCCTAGAGAAAGCTTTCAAGTTTACAGCCCTCCCTGTTTTTACAGGTGCTCTAAGTTCTAAGAATTAAGTGCTCTAAGAATTTCTGAACTCTACCAGAGGAGTGCTTGGTGTTTGGATGGCTGGCGCTTCAACTGTAGAAAAAACTAACAAATACATTGATTTTTTTTGTTAGAGAAACAAATAACTTGGTTGATATTTCATTTTTATGAGAAGGCTTGTTTTTCTTTCCAAAATACTTTAAACTTTCAGGGAATGAAAACTCCAAGTTGCAGCCAGATCTGATAAATGCAGTAAGATAATATTAAAGAGAATAAAAGTTATTCCAAAAACCTAGTCCATAATCTAGAGAAAAAAAAGGAAGACATTTTCCTAATTAGTGGTACCATAATTTTTATTTATAACTAAAGCTCTGCTTTTGCATGCTGTCAATACGTCATGACCCTCTTTATCAGTGACATTAACTTCCAGTAACTTGTAACATTACAGAACATACAAGACTATTTAGTAAGAAGTATTATAAACCACATATTTTGTCAACAGATTATCTTCAGTGACTTTCCAGAGAATTGAAATTCATTTTAGTTGTGGAAATTAATAAGAATTGTGTTTTATGCATCCAAGTTATGATTTCCAGAATGCTACATATTTGTAGATATATCTTCCTAAGAAATTGTGTAGGAAAAAGCCCTTTGTTCTCAAGGAAGAGGTCAGATAGGAACAACAGAGATGTGCTAAATAATTGTTTCCAGAGTAAAAAAAAATGGACTGTGTGCTGCATGGAAGGAAGTTAGCTTCCCATGCAGTCTGAGGGGAGTGTTGGCTGTAAGGACCTGGGACGTCTGGAATGAGTCTATGATGCTGCACCAAGAACTGGCCTCTTTAACTTAAAATTGGGAAGATTTCACTTATGGACATCTTGTTTCTGCCCTGAAGTTATTTGGACATGAGAGTGATGGTTACTTCAGTGCTTCTTTTGTATATAAACTTAGGATAGACTTCTTGCTCAAAGATAATTGCCTGTTCAGACATGCTCACCTCTATACTGTAAGGCATTCTGGCATCTAAGGACAGGACCACCTGTGGGAATGGAAGATTCTGGAGACTCAGCAGAATGTTTGAATTTCTATAAGGGCAACAGATGTGCTGCACAGATCCTCTCTCTGGTGGGCTTTATGGTCTCCCCATGGGGATCCTGCTGGTGGCCTGGTGACATTCAGACATTCAGAACAGCTGCTGTTATTTTCATTCTGGTTGGCTGTATTCAGACCCTGTGGGATGGCAGTGCAGCTGCTTTCCTTTTGGGGCAAGGCATGGAGCAGAGAAATTTAGAATTTCTTTAGAAAAGGAAACTGGTTTTAAGATACAAAGGCTTTGTTACTGATGTTATGGTTTTTTGTTTGATTATTGTCCTTGGCCTGACAAGCATAACTATCGTTGTTAGATCTTTTATAAACTACTGGTGATGAAATAGCATAGCGAGTAATGTATCAATGGGCAAGCCAAAGGAAGTACTTGCCACTTGTGGGACACATATTGAGAAAGTAAGAAAATTACAGCCTGAAAAATATTCCAGCCTGAAAAATATTCCAGCTTTCCAGCTCTATTCCCAGCCAATAAGCTGGCCCAGCTCAAGGCTAGGGAGAATTTCTCCCAGGGTGATAATTTACTCAAAATAAAAAGGAATTAATAACAAGATAGAACACCTGTTGTGGTACATGACCAGGCCCTGGGAATGGGGTGTCTTCTCTCTGAACCGATCACCTTTTCTCTACTCTTGGAATTGCGAGTCATGCTATAAAACCAAGTGTGTTTCTCAATAAACTTGTCTCTTTCTTCCATGAAAGATGACCATGTAGCTGTGTCTTATTTCCGCCGCACATAAAGGGTTAAAACCCCTCTCCACGGCTACAGCCACCCACATAAAAAAGCCTTTTAAGGCTTATAAGGTTTTCAAGAAACCTTATACTTACTTGAAAACCTTATACTTAATATTTCTGGCTTGGTGGGATGAAGGAATGAGATGAGTAGGGTAAAAACACTGATGGCTTTGTAAAACTTAAATTCTTATTAATCCTTTGCTGTCTACATGCATGCCCTCACTGCTGTGTGGGAGCCTGCCGTGCCAGTTGACCTTGCCTGGCCACCATGGCCCCACCAATCTGCTCTATTACCCCTTGCAATAGGACAGGGGGAGGAAATACTACAAAAAGTCCATGGGTTGAGAAAAGGACAGGTGGATGACTTACCAATCACCATCAAAGGCAAATCAGACTCAGCTTGGGGAAATTATTTTAATTTGCCAATTATTAACAGAGTAAGATAGTGAGAAGAAACCCCAAACTAATCCCATCCTCTCCCAACCTCTCCCTTCTTCCCAGGCTCAATTTCACTCCCAAGTCTCTTACCTCCTCCTCCCAAGTGACATAGGGGGATGGAGAACAGGGGTTGCAGTCTGTTCATAACATTTTGTTTTTGTTTCTTCTTCCTTCTCTCACTATTCCCCTACTGCAAAGAGTGTGTCCCTCTCTAAGGAGACACTTCACAAATTTCTCCAGTGTGGGCCTTCCCATGGGCTAGAGTTCTTCACACACAGCTCTAGTGTGGGTCTTTACATGGGCTGCAGCCCTCAGGAACAGACTGCTCCAGTGTGTGTCACCTTCCAGAAAATCTGCTCTTACATGGGCTCCCCTGTGGCCTCAGTTCCTGCCAGGAACCTGCTCCAGCATGGACTCTCCATGGACTACAGCTTCCTTCAGGTCACATCCACCTGCTCCAGTGTGGCATCTTCCATGGCCTGCAGGAGGACAAACTGTCATTATGATTTTCCCCATGGTCTGAAAAGGAATCTTTGCTCCAGCACCTGGAGCACCTCCTCCCCCTCCTTGTTCACTATAGGGTTGTCTCAGCCCTCACTCACAGTTGCTGTGGAGTAGTTTTTACCTTTTCTTAAATGTGTTCTCACAGAGTACTTGCCAGTGTTGCAGATGAGCTGAGCTGTGGCCAGCGTGGGTCTCTTTTGCAGCTGGCTGGAACTGGCTCTGTTCAACATGGGGGCAGCTCCTGGTGTCTTCTCACAGAAGTCACCTCTGTACCCTCCCAAGTTTTGCCAAACCAAATACACTCTGGTTAGGAATGTGTCCACCAATAGTGTCTTCTTAGGGTAACTGTCTTGAATTTCCCAATGAAAGGAACGATCAGAACTATATAGGGACCAGTCCCTTTATCACCCACAATGTGGGTGGTACTGGGACTGCATGATCAATGATAAAGGCCAAGGGAAACCTTTGCCTTGGAAAAAGTCCATCTCTATTAGAATACTAGAAACCTTGAAAGATCTTTATGATTTGCCTTTTACACAAAACATGAGATGCCTTTGCTAGCCACAAGAAGGGCACCATGACACAGAGGAACAGGAAGAACACTGCAGCCTCAAAAAGGTGGATCCCCACCAGCCAGAAAACATTAGACCTGACACAGATGCAAGCACACCCAACAACAGCTTCCCCTGCCATCCCACCATTTGCCAGTTCCACCAGAGTTGCCTGGGTTGGCCTCAATAAATGGAGATAGTGAAACCTTTCCTGGCAGGGAATTCACTTATGTCTGAATGTTTCCCTGCTGTGTCCATTGACATTCTGCAAGTAGGGTGCAAAAACTGTAGCAGCAAATATTTCCTGGCTAATAGAGTTAGGTATTAGGCAAGCAGGGCTAATGTGCTGCTAGTCTAAGCACTGCTTCTTGCAGCAAAGTGAACTCTGATGTTGTGAAATTTCTGTTTCCCTATCTCTGCTTTTTATCTCAGGACTTTATCTTTCAATGTCATCGTTTTTCCTCTTGCATGGTTGAACTCCTAAGATACCAGTAACTTCTTTCAATCTGGGTTTTCATTTTTTGTATCTTGTGTGACTTTAGCTGTGTATTTTTCACAGCCTAGAAGAAATTTTGCCAACACCTTTGAGTTAAGTTCATACACTCATGCTGTGCCAAAACGGTCATTGAATCACTGATGGTTGAATCTCTGGGTCATTGACTCCTAGTACTGGTAAGGACCTGTGGGGCCAGCTACCTTTATCTTGATACCAATACTAAATTGTTCTTTAACACTGAGTGGCAGCTCCACTAGGTTCCCAGCAAATTTCCAGTGCTTCACTACCTTATCTTTTAAAAATATTTTTCTGCTGTCTTGCTTAACTATCCCCTGCTTCAGTTCAAACCCATTACTTACCTCTTTGCTTTGAGAGCAGATGATTTCAAAGAAATCTCGAGGTATTTCTGTAAGCTCTTTCTTTCCATGAATTTATCAGTAGGATTTTGTTTTAGAAGATGGGCCCAAAGTTATGAGGCATTCAGCATTGATTTTAGTTTCTTATGAAAGCTGTAGAATGGCTTTTGCTCAAATGGTAACTATCCTCTTTAGCCAGGAGCTCAGTTTCTCATCTGCACCATGATCTGGTAACAGCCTGGGCAGCAGACTACAGGATTAAGGGCTCTTCTGAGGTATGGAGCAACACTATAAGCACCTCTGATCTAAGCTTCAGTGGACTTTGTGATAGAATAACCTTTTATGTGTCCAGGCAATTGAAGTTAGCTTTACCTGACTGTATTTAACTTTCCCTAGGTGAACCTGACATTAGAGGATATTGAACCCACTACTGTATGAAGAAAGTTACTCCAAAATTTTTCTTCAGTCTCTCACATCAGGAAATGAAGAAGACCTTGATTCTCATGAAGCCTCACAAACTTGAGCAGGGAGTAATTTGTGAGCTTTTGAAAGCAGGAGTCTGAACTGTTTGACCAAACATTGTGAGATTTCATTGTTGCAGGTTGGTTGGCTTCTTTTTTTTTTTTTTTTTGTCATATGGGAAGTGCAACCCCCAGACCACTTCAAAGGAAGTGCTGTACCAAGAACTGGGGAAATCGTGCATGTGACATAGGTAAGATTTTTGCATACTGGCATATAATTGCTACATCTTTGGGTATTGATGTGGAGTTGTTGCATGCTGACAGTAGAGTCCCAGGAACACTGGAAGGGACAAATGGAATTCACAGCTCTGCCAGGGAAGGGAAACAAAAGTTTGAATGACCATAGGATAAAATCTTCTTTCCCTCAGAGACTTCATTTACTGATGGTGCAGATAACTGTTTTTTCAGCACCTTCTTTGATCAGCTTAGCTTCAGTGAAGCAGTTTCCTTCATTAAAAAATTATTCCTGATTCTCCAGAGACTTTTCAAGCTGTTCTCAGGGAGCTGTTGCTTAGCTAGACCACACTAGGCTGTTACTTGTTTTCAAGCAATATCTGTTTCAAAGTGCCTTCTGCCATCTGAATGTCCCCTCTCTGTGCTCCCCAGACAGCAGATTTTTTGCACTATAATTGTGCTAAAAAGAAACAACTTGCAATAAAAGAAAACCTTTGTTAGTGGTAAAAAATATCTGATTAACTGGAACTTTAAGATGCTATCTCTTATAGGCACTTAAAGTAAATTGCTACAGTAATTTCCATATTCTGCTCTATTCAGTGGGAGGTGCCTCAGAATGAAGCTGTTTATCTTGCTGCTACAGATATGAACTGCCCAAGCCAGATAAAAAGAGCTTACAGTAATATCTGGTACAAGTTAAGCAGAGAAATCCCTGCAAGAGACCCATCCACAGAGAATAAGCCATTTCTCTGCTTTCTGAATTTTCCAAATGGTAGGTTAAATTTTTATATTTTTTTATACTTAACCAGAAATAAGTAGAAGTATTTGATAAGAAAGTTTATTTCAGTTCACTTATGTGCTTCTTTATCTCAAGAAATAATATTAGATTACAATAGTGGGTATGCTTCCATGATAGACAGTGTTGGGAGTAACATAAAAATTTACCTTGTAGTGAAGTGTATGTAGAAATGGATTTTGCCATCAGTTTCCTGGCATATATTTTTACTAATGAGTCAAATACGCAGAAAATCTTTACTCTGCAACTGATTTTTCAGAGTTTAGTATATTTATGGTTTTTTTTTGTTTAAAAAGATTTTTAAATAATAATGTGTATATCAGTTCCAGAAATTCCATGCTTTAATACTGAAATTCCTAAATTTTACACCTACTGCTGTAATTGTTAACTCTTGTGAATGCTAGTTCTGAAATAAGTTCCGTTTTATTGTTGCAGTTTTAATGGGATATTTTCAGTCAGAATGGATTTTCTGGTTTGATAGAAGAATGAAAGTCACTTCCAAAAAGAGTGTGGGTTGTATCTGTCAGTAAAAATCCCACAAAACTGCTCTTTTATGGTATGTTTACATTGTAACATCTATTAAGTTTTTTGGGCAGAAATTGCAATACTATTTCCAGGTTTTGTTAGTATGCAAGGTAATATTTGTCATTTATATAAACAGTATTATAAACATTTTGTTGGAAAATAAAATTTTGGAAAGAAAATCAGATATATGTTACTAACGCAGTTGGCTTCAGAGAAGCAATGAGTTAAGCCCACAGACCACTGCTTCTGCAATATGCACAGTGGGTTCCTTCTTCTCTCACCTTCTCTTGGTAGTGGATCATTAGGAGCTAGGTTTTGACCTCCTCAAATAGTTATCCCAAATTTTGGATCCAGTGCATTTTCAGCACCATGCTGAAGTTTTCATTTACAGAGCTTAGGCTTACACTCATACCACGCAGTCATTCTAGGCTGTAGGAAGAAGCTGTAAGGCACTGTAGAACCAGTCCTTCTCTTGCTGTTTTCTGTCTGGACCTGCAACCTCTATTTCACTTCATATTGGGGTAATTTGTTGTTTACTGCTGACTTTGGAAAATGCAAACAGAATTACCTTTTAATTGCATGAGCTCTTTGAATTTTCAGGGTACATTCGTCTTTTATTAGAGCCCTCTATATTGTACACATTCACACACACAAACCCCAAACCCTACTTGAACTGCTGCTGATTCACAGAATCTTAAAAATGGTGGGAAAATCAATAAAATAATCATCAAATTTGGTGAGGATCATCTCAGTGCAAATATTTTGCATTCTTTTGGTGCAGGCTGGTAGCCCAGTATGTGTAAGGTCTCTCAAAGGCATATTTTTTCAGTAATCATAAAGCTAATTGCAACAACTGCCAAGTATGGAGATAGGAAATTATGAATTCCTTACTCCTGAATCATCTGGCACTTGTTAGAAAAGTTGGTGAGAGTAAGTAATTGGCTGTCTCCCTTCCTGGAAATAGATGTATCACAAAAATGGTGAAAGCACATCTCCTTGCAACTTTCTGGTAATCACCAGCCTTCCATTTCTAGGGCTGCAATAGCACTGGCAATAAGGGACTTGCCAGTGTCTCCGGCAGTGATACTACTTGTGGCTAAATTCTTAATAAACACTTAAAAATAAAATATCAAATGAGAAAAACCCCTTCATTTCAGAAAGACTCCAAACTTAGTCTATGAAATGATTTTCTTTAAAAATCAATCCGTTTAGTTTTTGTCATCTTGCTGAGGTATCACTCACTTCAACAGTTAAGGCAGTTAATGTAACTGCTGGCACACCTTGTAGGGGGCAAATAAGTTGCTGAAACAAAACCAAACACTTGGAGGGAAAACACTCCCAGTAGAGAAGGAATATTCTGGATGTTTTTGGTCCCTGCTAGTGATGCCTTGAGAGGCTACCTGGAACAGAGGCTTGACAGTGTTAAAGAATGAAGTAGGTATTTAATAAAAGGCCTTCAAAGGATACACCTTGGGCAGTGCAAGAGCCCGGCCATGGCTCTACCCAAGATGGACTCTGGGCCATGAGTTTTCACACTTTTTAAAGTTTTGGTCCATTTACACGTTGGGGTTAATTGTCCAATTGCCACTTCAGGTGAAGTCCCATCCTCCCAGTTTGCTCAATCCACTGTTGTTTATACTTTTTGGGCCTGAAGCTGCAATGGTGTCCTTAGTTCTCAGACTGGAAAAGGATTGTTTTGTCCAACTAAACTATGAAGAGAGCTTGCTAACACTCAGTGAAGTTCAGAGTTATATACTAATGCAGTACAGAATCTGGAAAATATGAAAGCTAAAACTTAAGGCATGAGTAGTGTTAGAAATAACTTCTGGGACCAAGCCTCGTGTTCTAAATGATGAACAAAGCTGAATGCTTTACTATGCTGATGCTGTGAATTTCATTGTGCCATTTTGTGACATATCTTTTTCTCCTAAAGGTCTGTCCAGTCCCAGGTCATTCATGAACTCTGTTCTGGGCCACCTTGTTCATTCCTTCCAGGGCAAAACTTTTGATGTTAGTGTTGGAAAGTACCCTCTAAAAATCAGTTCACCTGGCCTAAGGTTTCCTTAAAATTAAAGACGTCAATCGATTTGCACTTTTATGACGTGCTTTTCTCCAGCAATAATGAAAGCAAGTAGATCCTCACACATAATATTTCTCCAGACTGGTCCCTCACTTCCTGTAAAAGGCATGGCATCAGCTTTGCTGTGACATTGCTGAGATGCTGCTTTTTTTGGTCTAAATCTCATCCTTCCTGTGATTTGTGAATATACCTGCACAATACCTACAGTGGAATTCTCACACTTTTCTATTCAAACACTATATTTTGTTATTGTTTTTCCAAAGTTTAAGAATAAACCTCTGGATATTATTAAACCTTCAAAAAAGAAGAAACTTTCCATGTCAATACTAAGCCGATGATACTTCTGAAAGCTTGAAACTGAATTTGCTCTGAATTTCAGACTTGGCAAAAACATAGGACTTGATAAGTCTTGTCAATGTTTATTTAGTCTGGAAGGTTTTGGCACTGAAATAAAAATTCCTTGCAGTAAGTGTGATGACAGTACTTATATTTCTTGCCTGTTTTTCACTTCTCCCCTTGTTCTCGCTATCTGCAAGATAGATTATATTTTCTTTCTAACTTGATTTCACTTGAAAACAACTTGTCTACTGTCTCTAGGACTCTGTGACTGCTGCTTACTCATACACCACAATAGAACCCATTGCTCTGTGATCTGCAGTGAAGAATTGGATTCAAAGCTTCTTAGTGGTAAGTAGAATGCTTATGGCTGTGTAGTATAGCTGGATTGCATGCTTGCTGTCTTCTGAGGGTATTCCTGGATTAGGTCAATTTACTGCCCAAGATCAAATGGTCAGGTTTTTTTACCTGTATGGGTTTGCTGGAGAGTTATTGAGCCACACCATGAGGTGTGAATTACAGCTGGTGTGTATCAGTTAGACACAAATGAAAACATCAATGAGATACAGGATCTGCCCTGCTGCTGTTAGCTAAGTAAAATATTATGCTTCTTTACTTACCTTTCTAGTCCATTTCTTCAGTTCCCCTTCATCTTAGCACTGTTTCTGACACTCATCTGGTTTTGATCATACTGCTAAACACTTACCTAGAGAAGCTGTCACTGAAGATAACTCACTCACTGCATGATATAATTTCAATTGTCTGTTCACTTCAATTGTCTGATGTACACTGATACAGCATTTCTGATGCAGTCAGATTATATTCTAAGATATCAATGTTTTTCTTCTTAGTTTAGAAATATGATGGGGCATATAGATTTGATTCTCCTATCTACCTTCCTCTCGGTTTCCATGACATCTGAAACATGTAAGTCATGTTTTAAAAATACTTTCGGATAAGGTTTGTTCTGTAGAAATGAGTAGGCTGTTTCCAAATTGGTGGTTTTATTTTTAAGCCTAAAGTTAGTGAGTTCACCTCAAGCCAGAAATCACAACTTAAAATCTAGCTTTTAGTGTATATTAAAATGCACCAAACAGTGTCCATTTCTATGACAGCAAGTCTAGGTTCAGCTTCTGCCACTTGGCAGAAAGAAAAGAGTCTTCTTGAAAGAATTTGAGAGTAGCTGGTGCTCCAGGTCCCAGCTAGGCACAAACTCCAAGAGCATGCTTTAATTGCACGGAGCAGCACATATGCATGTACACTTTGTTGAGTCAGGGGTGTAAATGGATGCTGTCCTCCGTACAAATGCTCTTTAATGTCCTGAACATTAATATTTGGGGGTGTTAATTGAAAAATGCAGTGTAACAATGATGTTTCCCTGCACAGGGGCGTGTCCAGAGCAGTGAACTATTTCTGATGGGCCAAGTCTACTGACTCAGCTATATAATGCTGACCAGTGACACAGTGTGGTACAGCACTCATGTACTTCTATTCTCTACCTGAGATGCTAATTTATCTGAAAAATTCTGTAGGATATGATCTCTAAATATTTATCCATATTGTCAATTTTAAAATAAGAATGCTAAGATTCAAGCAAATTAGATTTATTAAAATGCCAAATTTTGCTGGAGAATTTGCCAAGAGGATTTTCATGGATGTCATTGAGTTTAAATGAGGCCTTTCTTTTTCAATGTCTTCTCTCTCCACACTGTTTTTCCTCAAAGAAATCTGTATTTCCATTGTGTTCCACCTTTGGCAGGGCAATGCTGCCTTTTCTGACCCCATGATGTGTCCCAGTGTCTTTGCAAGGCTTGTGGGTGGGAACACTGTTAGAATGATGGGGTTGGGGCTACTCATACTCATACCTGGCTAATTTAGGAGCCCCAAATGAATAAGCGAGATGACAATACCGGTGGAGATGGACCACTTCTTTAGAAAGAGCCAGAGCAGATGTGTTCATCACGTGGAGACTCTCACCTCCTGATTTGTGCACCTACATGTCTAAAGCCACCACTGCCAAGTGTCATTTTTGATAGACACTGTCTGTTTTGGTTAACTGTTTGGTTATCTACTTTTATTTTCATGCTCCCTTATCTACTACAGTTCCTCTGCCAATCTCAATCTTTGTCCTCTCACCATCCTTACTGATACTCCCATCTTTTTCTTTTCAGAATGCAATTTAACTTTCAGATTAATATTTGTTTTCAGTGGCCAGGACACTATTCAGGTACCTGAGCACTAAAGTATTTATCAAAATTTTTTGATTCTAGTTTCTCAGAATCATTTCAGTATTCAAAAGTAGAAGTATACTCAGTTAAAAAAAAAATTAAAAATGTAGTGTCTTACTCCCAAATTTTCTTATGTGTGACCACATGTGGTTTATTTTTCTAAGCTTCTTACTTGTCTCAATTATTTTTGGTATCTTTTCACCTTCCCACTTTCTCATCAGATTCTTCCTTTCAGGCTATCACATTGGTTTCATTATTTCCCACCCTGTTTTCAGGAACTTCAGAGACAAGCTGGTTTTTTTGGGTTTTATTTCATTTTATTTTTCCTAAGGATCTAATCTACAGACTTCCTTCTGTGATTTTTTCTTCCAGGAAAAAAATCAATTTAATTTTTTTGTATTAAAAGGCAGAAAAAAAGCACTAATCTATTGCATAAATACTCATTATACTGAAGTAAGAAAAGATAACTGCATTAAAGCCATTATTTTTTTCTGTGTTTTAATTAGTGTTTTGAATAAAAACAGTATTTTAGGCAAAGATTTACATAATAAGCTCATTATAAGGAAACACTATTTTTTCAATTAAGTCCTCTTGTTTTTTACTATGTGTGCTTAGAACATAGGGATTTGTTTGTTTGTGCCCCCCACAGTAGTTACTGTTTTTGGTAACAAATGGCTCCATAACTCAAGGTAAACAAAATTTTTATAGAAAAACAATCTAGTGAAAATAAGCTTGCTATGTATCATCTCTGAAAGCTCAAGGAGGGTGGAGGGACATGGTTAGCCTACTGATCTAGGGATGCCAAATTCTCTGTTTCAGTGGACAAAGGTTTACTTTATCTGAGATTTTAATATTTTGCTCATTTGCAGTTGATCCTGTGGAAGGTGAGGCTTTAGTTATAAGATGTCCCAAATGGAGTTCATCTGTGAAAATCACCTGGTATTGCATGGATACTCATAAAGTAATTCCTGCGGAAGAGGATGGGTCACGAGTATTTTCCATAGAACAATTTCTTTTTTTTCTGCCAACATCTAGAGAGGATTCTGGGAACTACACTTGTGTAACACTTTTGTAAGTGCCACATGGAAAGTGGAAGGTGTAAGACTGGCAATAATATATATTTTGATAATATATTCTAATTCTAATTTGTGTAAATGATGACTTTTCTCTTAAGTTTTCACCCTGCAACTGCTATATTTATGGCAGAGCATTAAAATCAAGCTGTGACTGAAATACAATAATCATCCACATTTATAGAATGACACGCATTTGTTATAAGCATTAATATATTCAGTATAAAAATGCAGTCACTGACATACCTTATTCCATTTTTAAAGGTCAAGTAATCGCACCAAGTCCTACAATGTGAGTGTGCAAGTGCATTCATACAAGCCAGGAGCATGTTTCCCAAGTCGGACTCATTACCCAAATGACACTGGAAGAGGAAGAGTTTCTTGTCCTACCATTGATAACTATAAGAATGCTACCATTGTCCAGTGGTATAAGGTAAATAAAACCCTGATAGTGCCAGTGTAGGTCAGAATACTGAAAAGCTCTTTGCAACTGAACATATTTTTATTTTCCAGGACTGCAAGCCTCTTCAGGGACAGAGATACTTGAAGGAAGGAAAATATATTTATATTGAGAATCCAAGAAGGGAGGACGATGGTTATTATACTTGTCAATTTATTTATACCCATAAAGGAAATATTTTTAATGTATCAGCAACAAGAATTTTCATAAGTGAGGGTAAGACAGTAATTCTGTAGCTTGCTAAGATAAAAAGACTAAGGTCAACTTAGAGCAAAGGAAACTCCTTTTGCACATTAAAAAGAAAAAGACTTTTGGTTGGTTTGCTTTATCATCTTGTCTAAGATTTAGATCAGCTTTATTAGATGAATTTTGTGGATGGTCATCCACATAGAGCAAGATGGGGTAAAGTTAGACCTGGTCTCATTCAGTTTTCTGTTTAAAATACTCTGATGACTCTGGTAAGGTACTGTGGTTGGTAGAGCTCTCTGGTAGCATATTTCTGAAATGAAAGGTCTCCTCAGTGGGATGCCACAATGCTCTGCTTTCTATTTTTTGAGGGCAGCAGAATTTGTGGCTAGTGAGAATTGTCTGGTGATCACTAGATCAGTCGTGTGTTGATGGCCTACAGCTTAATGCCTCTTGGTCCATCTCAATCGTCTGACATTTATTTGATAGTAGGACTGAAAAAAATTTTTAAATTTGTTTTGAATGAGATAAAATGAACAAGATATATACAGAAATAGAAAATAGGATGGATCTCAGTGATTACTATGTTTCTGTGATCTTGAACATTGCTAATATGACTGAGGTGTGTGGACTGTGGATTGCCTCTAGGATGCAGTCTCCTCAGGGAGGCTTTGTATTTGAATGGTGGTCAGGAAAGGGCACACAGCAATTTGCAGTTTCAGATTGCATCAACTTGCAAAACTTCAAAATGAATCTTCAATTCTGAAATCAGATCAGTAGAAAAATAATCAGAAAGATCTTTTCTTGGGGGGTGATGGAGGGCTTGAGTTTGGCTCATGTGGTGGTTTTGTTGCTGTTTAGTTCGTTAGTTGGTTAGTTAGTTAATTTATTTTTTAAAAAGTAATGTCCGTTTGCAGACTGAACATCAGGCCTTTTTGCTCTGGGGAGGCACACAGCTTGTGGGCAGAATGCAGACTTGGAGCGTGGGAGCCTTGGTTGCAGTTTTTGTTGCTGTGCCCAGATCTCAGTAGCAGAGTTCGTTCTGATTATTCTGAGTGGGACAGGAGACAGATTTGAGCAGAGACCTAGTTCAGGTCTAGCTGAGAAATGTGCTTTTCCTCCTTTTATACCTGCTGCTCTACATGATCATGATCATGCTTTACATGATACTTCTCTGCCTAGCAATTTTTGTTTAAATGTACTTGCATCAAAATTTCTCTAACTGTTCTGGAATACTGTTCTTCCTGGGTTACAACAAAAATTTCTGGGTTTTGTTTGGCCCAAAGACATTCAAATTAACAAGAGCCTTTTTTACATCCAGGCACATCTTGAAGTTATCTAACTTTCTGTTGAAATCCATACAGAAAGAAGAGATTGCAACATAGCATGTGAAATCTGGGCTGGGTCTGCTCCAGGTTTTGCTAAACTCAAAGTACTTAATGAAAACTTCTTTGAGTTTTTATCAGACCTTATCAGATGACTGGAGCTGTTCTGTTTTGTTAATATTAGAGAACTATGATGTGCATTCCTGTTGCTTTGTAGATCCATGCTGTTCCAGAGAATTGGAATGCTGGCAGCTAAGAACAGCATAGTCAGATAGCTGGGAAGTTACTGGCTCTCTCCTGACTTCTATTTTATCATATCCGGTCAGTCTGGGGAGCAGGAACTGAAATGTGTTCCTACAGATTCTTTTGGGTTTCACAGAGGTGCCTTGAGATGGAAAAGCTTAATAAGGAAAGGGTTAGAAAGCAATATGTTTGGAGTTCAGATACTGCATGAAAGTACATATTAGCTATTTAATATAATGGATATGAGTAATTTCTCAAATGTCTCTTAAAAAACCCCCAAAACAGCTGAGAAAACATACAAGCCAATAATACCATTTGCTTTTTTTCACCACTCAGCTAAAACAGGATTTCAAAAACGAATATTTTCCTTACTTTCTATGTGCAAAAATTAAATAGATAGGGAGAAAATACTGAAAATATTAACATGTACATACTCCCCAGTACAGAGATACCTCCCAGTACAGAGATATTTGGTTGTAGGAATAAAACCAGATGATCTCAACAGGTATGTGAACACTGTTAGTTTGCAATTATGTTTTGTGATCACAAAATATTAATTGTACAGATTACAAATCTTATCTTGCAAAATGCATTTTCACAACTTGCTGATGTGTGTTTTATTTTCCTCTTTAATTTCTAAAGTGAAATACTCACCTCTACCACCTCAAATCATATTTCCAAAGAATAAAGATGTAGTAGAAGCAGAGCTTGGTGAGTACAAATTTTAATTTGTTTTTAAATTAACATGTTGTAATGGTCTAGGAAACATGGGTATCTTCAAGAAGATGTAATGATGGAACTTTTCATCACAGTTTTGCGCCCTAATATTTACCAGATTTAATTGCCTCCAGGTCCCGGGGTATGAAGTTAGGTGTAACTGATGGGTTATTTAGACATTAGGTGAAGTTAAAGAAGACTTAAATAACTTTTTCTACTTTCACTGGGATAGACTAGGATTATTCATAGAGTGAATCATTACATCTCAGCTGAAAGGTGACAGCTTCCATCCACTTCAAAGAGGGCTGTGGTGAAATCCCTGGAAACTGCTTGATAGTACCCCTAAGAGGGAAGGATGGACTATTCTTGTGACTAGAGCTACTCCTTGCTGCTTTCAGTCCCCATGTGGAGACAGTGCCTGTGTCTCTGCTGAGGGTTGAAGAGAGCAAGGAACTGGTTTCTGGCCCTGAGGCTGAGGAGCACTGCCTGTCTAATATCCATGTTGGCTAGCAGTGATCAGACCAGCCTGCTTGGAAGATACTGGGAGGGCTGAAGGACAGGACCAAGCAGTGAATTTGGACAGAGCCATTTGGACAGCTCATAATGTGGAGCTTGCACCTGGCTCCCTTCTATTCAGGGCTATAGATGTTCTCAGGGATTCAGATTCATTCTGTGTAACTTGCATCAGGACAAGGCGTTTCTGGTAGGAGTAAGAGCTCTCTGGGGTTTGTCTGTAGTCAGTGGAGAAAGGTGGAGCTCTCCAGCAAGAGATTAAACTCATCTGAAATCTAAACAGGTAATCCAGGATGCCTGTCTCCCAAGGCAAGTAGGATGAGGCTGGGCCAGTGGCAGAAGGGATTGGAACTACCACTCGTCTGTTTCTGTCCTACAGCAAGACTGCTCTGGTAGCAGATACTGTAGGGGTGCACAGCCCTCTCTGTGACACGTGCTGGGGATCAGAGACTTGTTAGTTGACTCACATTCCTGTTCTCTTTTTCCTCTTTCCCCCAGCTGTTTTGTTGCTCAGAAATTAGATGGTCTCTGCTTGAGGACAAGCTTTCTCTACTAAGATGGTCAGTGCCTCTGTGGGCTCTGCCTGTTACTCTGGCACTGCTTACATGGAGCAAATTCACTTTACATTTAAAACCCAATTGCTGTACTGATTCTATTGTCTCCTCTTTACAGAAATGAAGAGATTTCTCCATGCTCCCTAATACCAATTCATGATCTAACCATAAGATTTGATAATCTTATCTAAGACCTGCTTAGAGGCAGACTTACATGGAAATTTAACATGTTTTAATTATACTTGCTTTCAGTACAATTGTGACCCTTACTTTGGAATAAATATTTCCTAATGGGAAATATTTAATAAGTAATTTCCTATTTTAGTTTTGCTTGGACTGGTTTACTTTACTTTTGTCCAACTTGAATAAAATCCAAGATAAGGCTGTCTTATGCAAAATAATACATACTGAAATAATATGTAATATAATATAGAATAGAATAGAATATATGCTAAATAATATATACTGAAATTTAATTAGGTTACTTCTGTGTGCATTTGTGTGTCAAACACCATATCCTTTCTATGTTCCTCACTAGCTGATTACATGTGTCAAGCATCACAAGTACAGGGTACATTGTCTTCATCATGATAAATATAAATAATTCCTTTTGTAATCCTTGGTGTATTATTAGCTCATTTGTTGAAAAATTAATTTTACTATTTCTTTTTCTCTCTTCTATGTATCATTTTTTCAGCACTAGTTCAGAAAAATTTGTCAAAATTGTTATGAGAAAACTCACAAGTTGTATGAAGATTTGTAGAAAAAGATGTTACAAGGAGAATAAAATTATGTTTTTCATCAAGGAGTGTTTACATCTCTGTATCTTGATTAGGTGCTGCTTTATCTCTGAAATGTCAGGCCCGCCTGGGGATTAAGAAACAGCCACTGGCTGCTGTCAGATGGGATGTGGATAATATCCCAGTGGAAAGCCTTGTTTTTTCAAGATTTCATGAAGAAACTAATTCGTAAGTGCATATAACACAGAATAATCTTTCTTCTATGCAAACTGTGCTTAGCCAGTGAAACTAATGTTACCAGTTCTTTCTCTTTCTATTAGTTTCAATGGGCATGATCAAGTATACTATGAAGAGACAAGTTTGAATATTACTGAAGTAAAAAAAGAGGATCTGCAGTCAAATTTCACATGTATAGCATTGAACACAATGTACAACACAAGGGTCACAGTGACATTACAACTCAAAGTGCAATCTGAGGGTAGGATTTTTCATTTTGATTCTTTATACTTTGCACTTAGTTTGAAATGATGAGTTGATGAGTTTATTTTATTATTTGTTTCAGATAGTAAAAAATTTTCAGTTAAGAAGAAGCAAAACCAGCCTACTTCTTCCCTACATGTTCAAGCCAGTTTCAAAATTCTCGTGACTGAGTCTTGGGGACTGGGGAGAGGGGGGACATTATTCAACAGTATCAGCAAGAGATTAAATAAGCAGAGTGAGACTGTGATAAGAATATCCTATTTCTAGGATATTTCTCCACTGTGACAAATCAAACTATTGTTTCTAGTGTAAAAGTGTAGCAGAAAATATGCAAACTTTAATAAGAAGGGTTTTAGCTGCTGGTTTGCCAGTTTCTTTGCCTTCCTTACTATACTGCATCCACTGCAGTGCCCTTTTTGGACTGAATGTTGTGTGAATCACCTCTTCAAAATCACTGTTTATGTTCTCTGAGTGCCACTGTGTTCTCTCTGTGACACACAGTATGAGTAGCACTTCAAAGGCTTTCCCTTGATTTTGTTTTTAAATTCCTGGTTCTAGTAGTATCTGAAAGAGAAGGAAAATCCAGGGCAGTAAGTGATGGCAACAGGGATAATCCTTACCTCATATCAGAATTTTCTTTTTTGCTAGGGATAGCCAGATCCCTATGCACTATTGCCAACACCTCTGAGTCAGATTCCTATGCAGAAAATGCTATTTTGTCTATGTAGGCTCAAGAAGCAGCTGTGATCAATCGTTTTCTTTTTCATCCTTTCAGTTATGCTGTACCACCAAGAATCATGGAACCATAGAATGGTTTGAGTTGGAAGGGACCTTAAAGATCATCTAATTCCAACCACCCTGCCATGGGCATGGACACCTTCCACTAGACCAGGTTGCTCAGAGCCCCTTCCAGCCTGGCCTTGAACACTTCCAGGGATGGGGCATCCACAACTTCTCTAGGCAACCTGTGCCAGTGCCTTGCTACACTCACAGGAAAGAATTTCTTCCTAATATGTAATCTAAAACTACTCTCTTTTCTCAAGGACTTTGAAAGTAAATGTCAAGAACTTTAACAGGGGGAAATATAGGTTAGATATTAGGAAAAAGTTTTTCATGGAAAGAATGATAAAGTACTGGAATATCTGCCCAGGGAGGTGGTGGAGTCACTATCCCTGGATGTGTTTAAAAAAAGACTGGATGTGGCACTCGGTGCCATGGTTTAGTTGAGGTGTCAGGAAACAGGTTGGACTTGATGATCTTGTAGGTCTCATCCAATCTTGTGATTCTTGTGATTCTTGTGAAGTGCACTGTGATCACAGGGTGTGCACAGACCCATGTCCTGCTGTATTCTCAACTGCTCATGACTTTCTACAGGATCATGGCTTCAAAGCCTAGACAAATTTCCTTGCTAGACTAGACTAGAAGCGATGTAGGTGAATTGTAGCAGCAGAATAGCACCCAGCAGGAAGATGGCAGAAGATGATTTGGTTGGATAGGCAAGTTTGAGTGTAGCATCACTCAGGACACTGGAAAAACATCAGCTCTGCACTGAAGTACCTGAGTGTGGAAGTGTACTTGCAATGAGAGGGAATGAAGCTGAGTAACAGTCTCTGCTTGCTAGTTTATCAATACAAGTCCATTGTTGGCCCCATATTACAGACTAGATGAAGGAGAGCATATAGCATATCCTGTATCCATCCCATGAATCATTTATCTAATTTCTGTTATAGACAAATATTTTGGGTTTTATTCATAGGTTCTCAGTAAATGTTCATGAAAGCTCTTGACTGTGACCTTGCTTTCACTGCTGCCTTTTTTGTATGGATATCTGTGCCCTTGTCCTTGTTGCTGCTGTCTGCTTCTCCTCCTCAGCACTGTTGGTGTCAGCAATGCTATGTCCAGAAGTGGCTGTGCTCTGCTTTAGTTTTCTTCACTCAGTCCTCACACAGCTCTGTAATATTTCTGCTAAAGCAATGCTGCTTGTTTCTCAGAATAGTAACAGTTCTATAGGATTCGCTTGTAGCTCTCATCTTGTTAATGTGTAATAAAGATGTGCACACTCCTTTTTTTTTGTGTTTTGTTTGTGTGTTTGTATTTAATAGGAAAAAAATTCCAAATATATGTTTGCTCCTTAGTGTTTCCCACAGCACAACTTGTGTCTGCTAGCTACTATCCTCTTAATGTTTTCTTTACGCAGTCATTTAAAGCAGAGATAAAGTTCAGCCCAAAGCATCAGCTCTGTTCTTCCTCAAAGATGTTTAGCGCTAAAGCTAACCTTTTGGCTCATGTTTTGTAGACTGATGTGGACAGGAGCTCTACACCCAGATCTCTGCCTTTGCTGTCTGGAAGTGCATCCACCTTAGAAGCCAGAGAAGCCAGAAAAAACTGTTGCTCTTCTGGAGTTTGTCTGGAACTCCTTCAAAAGTTGCTTTTTGACATGTTTTCTCTGTCCTTTCCAATATTAGTGCTTGTGAGCTGATAGTTCTGTATTCCAGTCGCTCTTGAATATAAGTAAAAGACGGCTTACTCATGAACTCAGCTGCTAAATGATGCAGTAAAGTCAAATGGAACAACAGGATCTGTTCAGCCTTGTTCAGGGGCTTGTGGCACTTGCCCCCATTGTGCTGAATGTTTGCAGCAAATTAAATTAGTGAACATTCATTAGTTTATTCCAGAGAAATGAGAAGCTAAGCCAGCATTACTGGGAATTAAACCTGCCCTTCCAGGAAGACACCTCTGTGGGGCTCTTGTCTGGCATTTTACCAACTGCATGGGCACATGGCTGGACACATGGCTTCTTTTCCAGCCTTGGTCTAATGAGTGCAAACACAATATAAACAGCGTTTTTTAGGTTCGTAATTGCAAAAGTTGTTGTTGAAACCTCTTTCTTCTCTAGATGTATATAAAGACTTAATGCAATTGTAATACACCAGTAATTGTAATGTTGCACACTGTCAGCAAATGCATCAGTAAGAAACATCTGATGCTTAGGTCAGCCCCTCCACATAGTGAAAGGGATTTCCTTACTTTGTGTGTGTGTGTGTATTGACCAGGAAAATGGATCAAATACTAAAATTTGAAGGGGTAAACAAGGATGAAGTTCCTTCATAGGCATCATGTGACACTATTAAAAATATGATCAAACTTTAGAAAGAAATGATTGCATTCTTGCCCAATCTTATTGGAAAGTGTTTCCTCCTGATCTAGTTCTGGTGAGGTAAGCTTCATCACAAGCCTAACATTTCTTTTTCCTTTTAAATGCAAAGGAAGAAATTTAAAGAGTGTGCAAATCTTGTTAAGTTTACCTCACATCCTACCAGAGGAAAGGGAAAATACATATGTAAACTCTTCATTTATATACCTTTTCAGCAGAATTTCTCAGGCACACCCTCCACTAGACCAAGTCTCTTAGCACTCCATACAAGCTATTCTGGAACATTTCCAGGGATGGGGCATCCACAGTTTTTCTGGGCAATCTGTGCACAGTTTTACCACCTTCAATATAAAAAATGTCTTCCATAAATCTAGACTTAATCTAGCTCTGATAAGTCTTCATCTCTGAAGTAAAGGTGGACAGATTCTAGAGCCCTTTCATGAGGGAAACTGGAACTAAAGTGGGTGGCTCCTTTCTGTCCCAATTTTTCTTATTCATCATTGCTATTACGTACTCCTTGACCCTTTTGAACAGAAAAGGCAGGAGAAAACATCATCTGACTTCAGCGTAATTTATTTTATTTTTGATTGGGACATGGTCTGTTTTTCAGCTTGTCTAGTGCTATCTTTGTCTTACCTTGCAGATTTCCTTACTTGCACATGCTCTTTGTACCCTATTTGTGCAATCATGCCAGAAGCCTCCATTTTTCCTTCTGTGGATTTTCATGCATAGGCTTAGATGTCTCACAAAATGGTTGTGTTATAACCGGTTTTTAAAAGTTACAAAATACTTAAACATCATTGTCAGCTATGGTTTTTAGTATAAGCAGGTCTGGATTCGACAAAGTGAATATTAATTATATACTGCATAATATGCTTCTACTTCAGGGGTCTGTGTGTTGGCTATGCCAGCTGGGGAAGGAAAAATCTTTGTCATCTCTGTTTTGAGCTCCTGAAAGCTGTAACAGAATTAAGATGAGGCTAAAGCTTCAGTACACGGTTAACTTCACTGTGACTAACCATGTATTCATCTGCTTTGCAGAGGTTCTTCCTTATGCCCTCCTGATCACAGGATCTCTAGTTCTGCTAGGTGCAATAGCAATCTCAGTTATTCTTTACCAGTCTTTCCGAGTTGATATCGTCCTGTTGTATCGGGAGATATTCCAGCCCCACCCAGTCAAGGATGGTAAGTGAGATTTGAGAATGAAAGTTTAAAAAAAGGAAAATGACAAATCATAGAGAAAGTAATTTATTTGATAGATGCTAACTCTTGACACCTAAGCCTGATGCTTCTCTTTCTTACACCTTTAGTAAAGACAAGTCATAGATAGCTCTGCGAGTACTTTACATTCCCTTGTTTCCTGGGTTCTGTAGCACTGAACTACATAAGAGTCCTGGTTTTGTAGTTTTTTAAATGAAAATATTTTCCATAAAGTACTGAATGATGTTGAAAATCTGATTAACAGTGCTGTTAACTGTACTTATTATGTGCTCTCTAATGCAAAGGAACAAACTTGATGGCTAACATGTTAAAAGCATGAGTTAGAGCAACACAGTTTTTGTAGGCCAAAAAGAAAGATACCAATAGTGTAGAAGACATTTCTGGAGGAATACATCCCATCTAACTTTATTGGTTGCTTTCAGCTCAAGATTCACACATCTACATTTAGTTATATGATGTGAAAGTGTTCACATGCAAGTTTCCATCTTAGACATGGAACCTGGAGATCCGTGGCTGGGTCCAGCTATCTAACCATAAGTAATTCGTGCTGTTGGGGCTGCATTAGAGCTTAAGTGAGACCTGAACCCCTCTTCAGGGGACAGCTGAAGGGCAGGCAGTACCTAATGACATGATGAGGTACATGCTTTTAAGAGACCAAATCCAGCTAAATGGACAATTTTAAAATCTGAAGCTGACTCCTACCACAGATGTCTGCATGGTAGATATCTACAGCTGATCTAGTTACTTACCTTCTCATTAAAGAGGAAAGAAGTATGCTTTTTAGGACAGTTTCCATAATAAGTATTTTTTATGATGAAATTAATCAAACTCTGGAAATGGACATTTCATTATTATTACAGAATCACAAAACCACAGATTCACAGAATCAATGAGGACCTCTGCGATCATCGAGTCCAATCTGTGACCAAACACCACCATGTCAGCTAGACCATGGCATTCAGCACCATTTCCAGCCTTTCCTTAAACACCTCCAGGGATGGTGATTCCAACACCACCCTGGGCAACCCATTCCAATGCCTAATCATCTTTTCTATGAAGAAATTCTTCCTAATGTCCAACCTAAACCTCCCCTGCTCCAGTTTAGCACTGTGTCCTCTTGTCCTGGTTGCCAGGGAGAAGATGCTGACCCCCCCTTGCTACAACCTCCTTTTGGGTCATTATGGAGAGCAATAGGGTCAAACCTGAGCCTTCTCTTCTCCAGACTAGACAACCCCAGCTCTCTCATCTGCTTCTCATAGGATCTATTGTTAGAATGGTTTGAGCAAGAACCTCAGCAACAAAAGAAAAGGATATGGCCATTTCCACCAGAGAGGAAGAAACATTTGGGATTAGAATAAAAGTGCTGTAATGGAAAACTTACTTTAGAGAAATGAAGCAAGGAATGAAATAAATACTTGACTTTGTACTTTATTCTGATTGTAAGACTGTTTCCTAAGAAATGAGATTTTCACTTGGGAGTATGATATGTTGTGGGAATGATGAATAAAATATTCAAGATGGAAGAGTTTAAATGGAATATCTTGTGCTGAGAGACAAAGCCTGTTAATTCACTGAAATAACAAATGCTGAGCTTCATTGCTATATCATGCTAATATGCATTGATCAGTTGAAATCTTACTGCATATACTTTGGAATACAGCCTTCACAATACAGAGGCCAGGTTCTCCAAAGCTACAAACACACAGGACAAAACAACTGAGCATGGAAAACACCAAATATGCACAGTCTTTACTTTCCAAACATGTGCCAGATGATATACATGATTCAGATTGGCCAGAACTTCTTCTTAGATCTACTTCAGTGACTGATATTTTTATTTCTCTCATACTTTTTGCAATACACAGCTCTAATCCATGTTGACACAATACTCCTTCCTCTTGTTTTTCCTTATAGATGGAAAGATATATGATGCGTATGTTATCTACCCCAAAAACCACGCCAGTGAAGCTAATTTTGTGGAATATTTTGTTTACCAAGTCATGCCAGATATTCTAGAAAATAAATGTGGATATAAATTGTGTATTTATGGGAGAGATATATATCCTGGAGAAGGTAAGTTTCAGATCTGATTATGCACTGAATTACTTATCAAGCTTGAGCAAATCGTGATTCTGTACACCTTTTAGGTGTACAGGAGGTCACTCTATGTTCCTCACCTTGAAGCTCATCTCCTCAGCAGCCATCTGTCTGCCCTTTCAGGCCAGGTGTCACAAGGGCACTCTGTGCTTTCCAGTGTGCTAGGAAAAGCAAGCTACAAGGAAGGGGCACAGACTTCTTATCATCTTGGAACGCACAGGAAACATGACCCTGAGTGTGCCTCTTTTAGACATACACTTGCTCTTTGGAAAGTCAAACTCTGCACAGTCATTATCTGGGCAAAGCCACAACCAAACTGAGCCTGAGCTGGCTTGGCTGACTATGAGACAAGGAAGAGGAGAAACCCACAGACTCAGCTGAGGAAACACCTCTGCTGTTACTATTCAGGAGTTTTCAACCTTTTATGAGGGTGTTAAAGTCACAAAACGTTCAGCTTCTTTTCACTGACATGTTCCATTTTCTCTTCACGCAGTTCCCAGCATTAGTTCAAAAGAGAATTGGTATGCTTTATTCCTGCTTTCTTGTCTTTCAGGATGAAGTAATGTTAATTAATCTGTGCTAATTTCCATATAGACACTCTCCACACTATTGTGTATTTTTGCTGCCACCTAGTTGCTATCTGCTCTCCTCCAGAGCTGACTTGTCTATCCTGTGCTCTGGTTCTTCTGTAGACTGGATCTTCTCTCTCTGTCATTGAGCAGGCATGAAACCTAAGCTGCTGCATTTTCTGTTTCATATTTCTGAATCATCTGCATTGGGCCAGGTGTCATTCATCTTTGATGTACTTCTCTTCTGGAAAGTTGTGAAAGGGCTGCCTGGCCTGGGCAGGCTGCCTGGGAAAAACAAAGGTAAAGAAAAGCTGCAAAAGTTGTTGAGCCAGACCATTCCCAGGTCCAGCAAGGAGCTACAGGAGTTCACAAATCTGTCAGTGGCAAAAATCTATACCACTTGCAGTGGCCTGGCAGCCCCCAGCAAAGGAAAAAAAGGTACATATGGAGCTGGCTGATACCTCTGCAAATCAGCTGCCTTGTGAAATAACTGGTGCGTTGAATTTCCTCAGCTGGGCTCCCACTTCTTTCTTTTGCCCAGCATCACAGTGATAGTAGCATTGATCAGCTGTCCCTAACATGCCAGTGGGAAATTCAAACACCTTCAGTTGTGCTGACACACAGATGCCCTGAAAGTCTGGATCTATCCCTGAAGGGTGAAGGCCAACATAATGTACAGATTAGTGTATAAATTAGCATGCATAACTCAGGACAATTAACTGTAATTAACTCTAACCCCACCTGGAGATAGGCCTCTTGGAAGCAAGTCACCCAAAAGTCTCCTAATGACTAATTTCCATGGGTAAGTATTGCAAGATCATCTCTAAGGCATTAAACTCTGCAACACAATTCCTTACATGGAGACTATTGATTAAACAGAGTTTTGATACAGTCAGATCTACTGAACTTGACCCTAGGTCACTGGACTAGAAATTACTAGCAGTAGTTAAAAACAGTGAAAATATTAATGTTCCAACCAATAAATCCCAGTTGAAATGAAAGGTTTGTGTTTTGGGCTTTTTGCTTTTCTCTTCAGCTGCCTCATCACCTTTGGTTGGTGGTTAGTTTTTTGTCTTTTTCTAATAAATAAACAAACTATGTCAGACTGAAGTGAGATAGAAATTACGTCTGGTTACAAAGCAATGAAAATGGAGTTTCCAATCTCAAAACAATTTAAAAAGAAATATCAATGTCTCATTATTTTCTTGTATATTGCTAGATGCAGCCAGTGCAATTGAGAAGAGGATGCAGAAGAGCAGACGGTTGATCATCCTGCTGACACACCAGCTGATTAATTCTAAAGAAGATGCTTATGATCAACACATTGCTTTATACAATGCCCTCATTCAAAATGACACAAAGGTGATCCTTCTGGAAATGGAGGCAATTGGGACTTATGGGAAGCTTCAGGAATCTCTTAGGTTTGTTATTAAGCAGCAAGGTACCATCAAATGGAAAGAGGAGCACACGGTGCACCCACAGTCACCCAATTCCAAGTTCTGGAAACAGGTGAGGTACCATATGCCACCGACACACCGGTCCTCCCACTCAGCTAACACCAGGTGAACAGGCTTGGAAAACAACGCTGCACTATCAGGGTGGACAAGCCCACAGCTGTTTTTCCTTTCAGCAGGTACATGACTGCACAGTCTGGAAGTGTGGCTATGTTTTTTGAACTTTATTCAGTCCTTCAGTTGAGTAATGATGGGGTAAGTTGATGGAAGACGTCTAGGAAATGGAGGGAACATTTTATAGGTGTGAGAGTTCTGTAAAGAAATAATTCTAGATTGTGTGGGGAATTTTGCAGAAAATCAAATGTACCTATGCTCTTTCTATATATAGTTGTATATAAAACAGAAAGTTATGATTGTGAATAACTGAATGCCTTGCAGGTTTACTTCATCTTTCTAATGCAGTTGATAAAATATGAATGTCTTCTGTATTATTTGACTTGAAAAAATAATGTGAATTTTGCAACTAAAAAGTATAATGTTATGCTTTTGTTAACCTTTTTTTCTGATACTTATTCCTTTTTGGTTCAATAGTGATACTCACAAGATGAAATTTTATTTTATCCTTGGTATAGATGCCTCACTAAAGGGTCTTTTGAGACTGATGTGAATACAGCAGTAAAAAAAAGAAAGCAGTATTAAGGGAAATAAATGCACATCTATATCTATCTATCTATCTATCTATCTATCTATCTATCTATCTATCTATCTATCTCTATATGTCTATATATCTATACATCTATATATCTTTATAAATATAGTATGCATTGTTCCAGGGAATAAATGCACTGATATATACATATATATGTATATATTACATGCATTGTTAAGGGAAAGAAATGCACTGATACATATTAAGGTATTTTATATGCACTTTAAAATATTTTATATATCCATTAAAATGAATCTCGCACAAAGCGGAAATTTAAAATCTTTCAGGTACAATAATCATGCTGTTACTGTAATTATTATCTCCAGATAGAAATAACATACTAAAATTTAGGATGTTCTTTTGATACACTGACAGCATTCCTTTAAGTTACTGAAAAATAGACTGCTTTTTTATAACAAGAATTATCCATCTTTTTTTCATGCCTTGGCCTCATGTGTAAATGTACTTTCTAATAGGAAATAACCTTAGATGCAAAGGTCAGAGCCAAATCTTCTAGTTCAGGGGAACAGGAACAAGATGTATTCTTTCTTGTATTATATACAAGATGTGGGGAGGTATCCCTGCAAACTTTAATTCTTTTAGGTTTTCAAACCCAGCAAATTCTAACTGTCAAAGAAGGCTAAGTTTGCAGCTTTAGACTTGCTACAGAATGGACTTAAAAAGTGAAAATTAGATGCAGAACACTTATTGTTACCAAGTCCAGGATTACAAATAGGCAAGTTCTTTCCTTTTACTGCAAGTTTTTATTGAATATGGATCTTCAGACTTATAGATAGTTATTTAGAGTAGAAAAACTGTGCATAAAATATATGTATAGATATTTTTCAACATTCAGTTAAAAGATCTATGACAAACTAGGCAGTTTTTTATTAGTGAATTTTATTTTCAAGTGTTCATTCACTCGTTGCTGACTTCATTACAACTATAAAACACCAAATGCTGCATTTTGTTATTACCTCATTAGGTTGTGTGCAGTGTTGGGTTCTGTTCCTAAAGATGCCTCTGGATAAACCTTACAGTCTCTGCAGAGGCCCCACAGGATGGATTCATGCCAATGTGAGACTTGGTTTATTCCTACAGTACCATTTCTTCCCACAGAGAGCATTCTAACACTAAGGCATATGTAAGCAGGAAAGCCTGTTGCTATAAACTGTGAAGATTTTTCACATAAGCTACTGAGCAAGAGAGAATATTCACTTCCAAGATTATCACAGGATAAGTTTTTAACACAGTTTGAGTCCTGGGCTTGTAATGAACAAGAAAGGATGATAAGCGAGTATCTTGGAAATGGAAAATCTAGGATGACTTTTGAAGCTGAAAAGGGATGAGAAGAAAGAAAGTATAATGAGGAAGTACACAGGATCAGCAATGAACCAAAGTACTCTGAAATATACTGATGTGTCATTGACTTCTGTTAGCCAGGCATGTAGTTATGGTGGTGAAAAACAAACTCACTACGAGGCTCTTGTGGTGATACTACTTTTTTTAAAGTTTCACAGTAAGCCCAGAAAAAAGATAAAAAAGATGAAAATAATTCTTATTGTGGTTTGCCAGCAGTGAACAAAAAGTGGCTTTGACAGAAAGAAAAGGGGCAAATTCAGACAGTGGCAAAGAACATTTACAGTATCAGGGGGTGAGTATGTGACCATAATTATGAAAATGATGCCATTGTCACAGGGTTTTTTGTTATTCCTTAGTGTTTAGTAAAGACATATGAGATATGCATTAAAATGGATATCTTCTACAGATATTATAATATTTGTAATGTTAGAGAGAAAGCACAAAAAGAGCCGTGGAATACTTTTACAGCATCATTAAGATATCAGCACCCCTGAGGCCACATCAGGAATTCTGCGTTCAGTTCTGGGCTTCTCAGTAGGAGAGACATGGACAGTCTGGAGTGAGTACAGCAAAGGGCTGTGAGGTTGGAGAAAGGATTGGAGCATCTTTCCTATGAAGAGAAGCAGAGAGAGCTGGGACTCTAGCCTGGCGAAGTCCCTCATCTGAAGGGAGGGTACAAAGAAGAGGGAATCAGGCTCGTCTCAGTGATGCCCAGTGACAGGACCAGAGGCAATGGGTGAGAACCTAAAAACAGGAGGTTCCCTCTGAACATCAGAAAGTTTTTTTTTAATGGTGAGGGTGACCCAGCACTGGCACAGGGTGCCCAGGGAAGTTGTGAGTCCCTAGCTTTGGAGATACTAAAAAACCTCCAGGGTTTGATTCTGGCCAGTCTTGAGCAGGGGATTTGACTAGATAACTTCCAGAAGTGTCTTCCACCCTTAATTATTTTATGATATATAACTTACAAACAACCTATATTTTTAAAAACTTTTTTTTAAATTAAAATTGGTGTTTTTTACACTAAGAAATCTGCTTTCATGGAATAACAGAATGACAGTCTGCCCTGTTCCCCCCCGCTCCCCCCCCAAAAAAACCCCCAGTGTTCTTTCAACATAGAAATAAAGTAACATAGAAATAATAACATAGAAATAAACATAGCTTATAGAAGATCCAGTTTGGATGCTTTAAGCTTAAACTAAACAGCAACAAGGCAATTTGTTTCTGAATTATATTATCCACAAGGAGTTTTAATGTTCTTTAGTTTCTGCCCTCTGCTTCTGTTGTTTTGGCACCTCAAGGGACTCTGGAGAGCAGATTTGCTTTCGCTTCTTAATAGAACAGAGTCATCTCACCCTCTCGTGGGTGAACAGGCACCCAGAGATTCTGACCAGCTAGAAATCCTATAAGGTTGAGATTTGATGTTCCTACAGCTTACATGGTTGTGAAGCCCAAGAGACTAACCACTTAAATTTAGGAAGTTTTTAGACGTTTTCAGGAGTTTACGTAGCAAGCTATTATTTGTAGTATATGCTATATTAATATCATACAGCACTGGACAAAGCTTGTTTGGAAGATGAAGTGTAAAATTGATAGTATATTGAATTGAATGTACAACTATATGTTCCTGACTCTTTCAAGGGTTGTAAAACTACAGCTGTTGTTTTAGACACAAATCATGCATATCCAGCTATGTTTTGGACAGTGAGAGGGCACTGGATGCTGCATATCTCGTATTGAGCAAGGTCCTTGACACAATCTTTTCTAGATAGACAAATCCACAAAAGTGATCAGAAAAACAGTGGGACCAAAGTCCCTGTGGGACTAACAGATTATGACCAGCATACAAACTTCAGATCACAGCTAATCACTAGAGGCACCCCTCAGGGAGTGATATCAGCACCTGGAGTGTTTAGCGTCCTTACTGATGACCTTGACAATGGGACAGACTGCACAACCAATGAATTTTCAGGCAGAAAATCAAACTGGGGAGGCATACTTGACCCATTGGAGCACAGGGCTGCTGTTTTGGACAGCAACAGGCTGAAGAAATGGACTGATGAGAAACCCACAAAGTTCAATCCAAGGTGTGTGCAAAGTGCTGTTCATGTGAGATGGAATAAACCCATTCAGCAACGCAGCCTGGAGGTCACTGATGCAAAACAGCTTTGCAAAAATAGACTGGATGTCCTGGTTGACACTAAAGTGAACACAATTCAGCAGTGTGTCATTGTGACTAAGATCAGTCTGCATCTTACTTATGAGAATGTAGTTGTGGAAAGTGGTTATTCCCCTGAATGAAGTATTTGTGAGATCATCTCTGAGGCACTATGTCAAGTTTTGGGCTCCCAAGTACAAGTGAAGTACTGACATACTGAAGTCCAGGGGAAAACTACCAAGAGCAGTCCCTTTTCTTCAGATTACTGTAGGTAGAAACAGGGCCTCTTGTCCTCTCCTTGTATGACCTGTGATTAAAATTGGTCATACAGGGAGAGGACAAGAGGCCCTGTTTCTACCTATAGTAATCTGATGAAAAGACAGAGAGAATGGATGGAACAAGACTCTTCTCAAATGAGCCCAGAGATGGGATAAAAGAGTTCCTAATTAGAACAAGAGAAATAATTAGAACATAGGAAATTTATATTACATATTAGGAAAAAAATTCACCATATGCATGTTCCAAAACTGGAACATGTGCCCAGAGAAGCTGTGGAATCCCCATCCTTGTACGTGTTCAGGTCTCATTTGTGTGCACCCTGAGGAGGGGCTGGACCTGAGGACTCCCAGAGGTCCCTTCAAACCTGAATTATCCTGTGATGCTGTGATGTGGAGGAAAGTTTGAAAGTGTCCAACTTCTCTATTTTGAAATTTCTGAGAAACATATGAGGCTCTAACAGACACATTTTATCAGTTTGTAAACTGCTTTTTTGATACCAGGGGAAGATAATGCTGAAAAACTATTGAATATGACTTAATGTCTGCTAAGAATTAATATAACTTGTATATTGAGATAATGGCTGTAGTTTAAGAAGGACTATTGCCACCTAACAGCAAACAGATTTAAACTGTGGTTACAGGAGTTGGATGTGTTGCAATTTATGACGGAAATAATTTCAGTTTTTCAGTTAGCACCTTGGTATAGTTTATGTTGGATGGAAAGGAAAATGTGAAATCCTGTGTGAAATAACTGGTCTTCTCTAACTGATTCTCAACTGGTTGTCAGAGTTTCGTCCAAATATCTGTTTTCCAATATTAGTGCAAACTTTCACGTTCATCATGACATTGTCAAAATTAAAATCTAAGCTGTTGCTATTTTTAGTCAAGTTACATATCAATTACCAGACTATGACTTCTCCATTAAAATTGTATTAGTCTGAGAACTGAAAAGTGTAAAGTTTATTCTCTGTTCACATATGTTCACATACCACAGAGCTAGATATGACATTAGTTGAAAGGACCAATTGAACACAGAACTTTCTCCAATTTACTTTCTGCAGATTTACATTCAAAAACGAGAGTATTTCAAAAGAATATGAAAGCAAATAAATGTGAGAAAAGCTCATGGAAAATATTGCTGTAAAATATGGACTCAAAAAAAGAAGTTTCCAAACTATCACTATGAGGATAGTAAGTGAAAGTAAAAAGCTGATGACATTTTACTTTACCATTTTATTTGTTGGCTACTAAGTAGTTTCCAGACTGTCATGTAGAATCATTATCATCTTTATGATATCGGCTTTCTTTTAGGTTTTAAAATCAGGCACTAAGTCATAAAACCAAAAGCACTGCAAAGAATCTTCTGCACGTTTTTAAAGCAGTTGTAGTTAGTTAGATCCTTAGCTTACTTTCCTGGAATTGTGCTGACTTACATTATCCAAAGGTCTAACTGTTATGTTGCTTCATTCTGTGATGAGGAAAACAAATAAGACAGTCAAACACTCTAAGGTTTCTTTGCTTCACTTCTGCAATGAAAATATACAAGAAAGCCAGCTCTGTGTAATCCCTCCCTCCTTTTAAGAGTTACCTGCTTGTTTTACCTCTAAACTGTCCCCTCCTGTTGAAATGGGGAACTTCTGCATTAGCAGTTGTCCTGGGTAAAAAACCCAAAAGGTAGCTGTCACCAAGCAAATTTCAGAAGATGAAAAGGGTGATATGCAAGTGAAAGGATTCCTGAGGGAATTATTTTTTTCCTGCTGTTATCAAACGAACTTTATTTAGAAGTATAGTGAATCATTGCACAGTACTTAGCAGATAAAGCATTCATGGAATTAACAACGGCAGGCATTCATTTACATAGGAACAGGACTCAAACAAGAAATATTCCTGGTGGAACCACAGTTCATATACCAACATTTGGCTAACAAGCAAACTTGACTAACTGCATGATGGCTTATTTAGAAGTGAATACATACACTCACTTTGCAGCAATGGAGCTACAAAATGTTTCACGTCTTCAAAGTTTTCATTATTATCCCCTTGAAGGGGATAGCAGCACAGAAAAAAATAGCACTGAAATGGGGACATTTCTCATAAAAAAAACAGTGTAGAATCGTATCTTTTGCCTTATCTCTTTTCCTGCACACCATAGTTTGTTATTCTTTTTGGCGGGATATTATTTGTGTGTGTGTGTTCTGAGGTCTTTACAGAGTATCAGCCTTTCACTGTTAGCTTTTGGCACGTCCTCATTCTCAAACCAGGCAGCAGAGATAAAACCTGCTATACTCAGCCCAATATACTCGTTCCTAGCACTCTGTCCTTCTTCCACCACACTCCTCGGAAGAGTCCTACAGTGTGAGTTCAGCGGAAAAGAGAAGGAAGAGGCGTTTCGGCTAAAGCCATCGGAAGACATCACCTCCTTACGCCTTTTCTTTCCCTGAAAGGTCGTGAGAGGGAAGAGACGCGCACACCCCACCCCTCTCCGCCTCCTAAAAAAGTCGATCATCTCTCGCCGTGCTCTCGGGGCGCGCCTCTGTGTTTGGGGGTCCGGCTGCCAGCGCAGCCCCCTCGCCGGCCGGGCAGCACCGCGGCTGCTGCGCTCCGGGCAGCGCTGCCTCCCTGCCGGGCTGCACCCAGGTAGGGCAGGGGGGAGCCAAAGCTGGGCACGGACACCTCCTTCTGTCCTCGCTTGGAGGAGCCGAGAGCCTGCCCCGCTCAGGGCGGTTGTGCGGGGGCCGCCCTCGCTGGCCGGGGACCTCTGCGGGACATCCTGCCCGTCCCCATCCCTGCCCTTCCCCATCCCTGCCCGTCCCCATCTCTGCCCTTCCCCATCCCTGCCCGTCTCCTGCCCTTCCCCATCCCTGCCTGTCCCCATCCCTGCCTGTCCCCAACCCTGCCTGTCCCCATCCCTGCCTGTCCCCATCCCTGCCCTTCCCCATCCCTGCCCTTCCCCATCCCTGCCCTTCCCCATCCCTGCCTGTCCCCATCCCTGCCCCCCCAACCCTGCCCGTCCCCATCCCTGCTCATCCTCAGACTTTCCCGTCCCCATCCCTGCCCTTCCTCAAACTTTCCCGTCCTCAACCCTGCCCGTCCCCAACACTGCCCTTCCCCAACATTGCCCTTCCACAGCCCTGCCCGTCCCCAACCCTGCCCGTCCCCATCCCTGCTCATCCTCAAACTTTCCCGTCCCCATCCCTGCCCGTCCCCAACCTCGCCCGTCCCCAGCCCCGCCCGTCCCCATCCCTGCCCGTCCCCAACCCCGCCCATCCTCAAACTTTCCCGTCCCCAGCCCTGCCCGTCCCTAATTCTGCCCGTTCTCAACTCTGCCCGTCCCCATTCCTGCCCATCCCGTCTCTGTCCATCCCCAACTCTGCCCGTCCCCAGCCCTGTCCATCCCTGACCCTGTCCCTCTCCCACCCTGCCGTGCTTCCCTGCCCGCGGCACTGCTCGCCTCTCGCCGGTGCCACTCAGCTCCTACACCTCTGTCTGTGCTCCATGCTGTACTTTTTCCTTATTACCTAGCTGTCATAAACAGTTTAGCCCTGAAAATGGCTTATTTCGACATACAGCCCTGTCACCACTCTGCGCTGTCCGCAGCCCTTTCCCTCACCTGGGTGGCTTTGGAGAAGGATGAGCTCCTTCAGCATTGCTCTAATGGTAGGCGCAAAAGATTGTGCCGAAAACATTTGTGTACCAGATCTCAAATGCCTCATTTAGAAAAAATATTAAGGACTTGCTATTAGCTTTCCATTAATGTTAGCAGAAATTAATTTCTCACGTCTCCCTTTTCTCTTTTCCTTCCTTCAATCAACAGTTCTCTTTTCCTTTTTCAGAAGGTTTTTCAAACTGAAATATCTGTGTATTGACTCACTTGCTGAGAGAGACAACTCTCTGTTTCAGTGATGAATGAGATTCAGAAGAGTTGCAAGTTCAAGTTGCAACTCTCTGGAGTTTGGAATACTCCCTCTCCATCCACTTTCCACCCGGCAAGACTTGCATAGTAAGTAAACAGCTTTGCTTATGTTCTTTAAAATTAAGACAGATTTTCATTTTTACCAAGACTTTGCAATCCTGGCAGAATGTGCATTGATCTAGTATGGTTAAGACGACTGTTTGGTAAATATTTTTGTTTTCTTCATCAGTGCTGCACAAATTATGGCACTTTTGGTAATATTTAAAAATACTCACACAAGAAGCCATTCTTAAAGAGGAAAGAGTCTTTCCTTACTTGACTCCAAGATGATTGTTAGAACGTCTCATGTTCAGGATAATCTTTTGTGGTTTTTTTAAAAAAAGGAAATCACAACCCTTCAGGACAAAATTGAGTTTTCCAAAAGCGTTGATCAAAATTAGTTACTTGTCCAAAATTGAGGATCAATCACTTCTATGTATCAGCTCCATTTCATTCCAAATTCTTCTGGTGATTCTAAAAAAGTGGGGAACAATTTTAATGGTGCACAATTTTCTAATTCATGAGACATTGGTAATACACTTTACAGAACTTAGACTTTTGGTTTGTTTAAAGTTTTTGTTTCACAGTGGCACAAGTATTTTAAAGTACCATATTTTATTATTAAAACTCCATCGGTGGTTTAAAACGTATAAAACTTTAAAAAATTCTTAAAGCTATTGTTACTTTGAACCTTATAGACAACTTGTAATTTAATCAATTTTCATTGAAACTGTCATTTCCCTCTATTGCCTTAGCATCTTGCCCATTAGTATTCTTGTAATCCTTTATTAGGCAGAGAATTTTTGCTTTTACTTTAAAATAACTCTCAATTTTTTTTCTGAAAATCAAAAATCTTATTCTGTTTCTCAAAGATTTTATTTGTATTAGCCATCTTTCACTAAAATAACTTCTTTTTTTCACCTTTCCTCTCCCCTCCAACTTGTCATTGAAGAATGCTCAAACTGTATGGCTCAAATGTAAAGACTTTTAGCCCACAGCAGAAAAATTTCAGACAAATTGATCAGGTTCAACAGCAATGAGAGAGTAAAATAAAGGTCCTGTGTCTTGATTTTTAGTAGTCATGAATCTCAAACCTGGTCATTATTAAGTTGCTTCCATTATATTGTGTGCATTTGACCAACCTTCCACTGTGTGCTGATGTGATATACCAAAACAGAAGTGGATTTAGAATTAAAAATCTGATGTTAAATAATTTTGTCTTTATGTAGTGGATCATAGTCTTGCAGTCTTTAACAGCTGTATTTCTTCTGAATGTGAAAGGATAGAAAAGAAAAACAAAATTCAAGAAATTAAAGAGAGAGGCCCTTCTTTCCTCATGAAGTGTAGGAGTTTGAATCTCCATGTGTAAAAAGGAACTGAAATTGCTTGTTGCAGTACTCAGCATCCATCTTTTAGCTTTCTAAATCTGGATCTGCCTACCAGGATGTCTGAAAAAAGGGATGTGAAACGCTTCCTTCATTTTACAGTGCTTTAAGGGATGATGACACACTTGTAAAGAACTGAGAAGAAAGATAAGAGAGGGAGAGCAGCTACACAGTTTGGTGTCCTGGAATAATGCTTGAAATGCAGTAGCCTCCTGCCTCCAGAGTCTTCAGGCCACAGGAACTTTCTGACTCTAAATCTTAGGGCAGTCTCTTAAAGTTTGTTTTCTCAAATCGTAACAGGTTTGCTTCATAAAAAAGAAATGGATTGCTAATGACATTTCTTTTGGCAGATCTCTGAAATATGTCTCGTGTCTGTGTGTGTCTCATTTGTCCATCCATATTTGTGTCACACTAAGCAATGTTATCTGTTTTGGGTTCAGGGGTTGAACTGAGCTGATTGTGTAGCTCACCTGTTTGCTTTGTAAGCAAAACTGAGGCAGAGTCTCAGGAGTAGCTCTGTCTTTGGTTGTCAGCTAACCTGCTCTTCTGAGGAACCTCAGGTGATGGATGATCCAAGCTGGTCTTAGTGATGTTTTTCTCTTGCCTTTGAAATCAGTTGACTACACATGAAGAAACTGAGTATAGGCTGCTTCGTCTCCTCCCCCTCAGTGGAAATTTTAGCACTCTCAGCTGGAGCTTATTGCCCCCACAGACCAAATTGTTTAAGAAATGACATCTCATTGTTTTCCAACAGGCTCAAAGTTAGCCATCAAGATATCCAATCTACAACATTATGCTATTCTCACTGAAGGCAAGAGAAGTTTCCACTAGCTGTTTCTACAAGGTCAAGTCTTGCAAAGTTTATTTTCTTTGTGAATAAAAAAAGGACTGTACCTGTCCTGTGGTAAGTATCTACTAGCTCGGGATTTGAGAGCTCTTGATAATACTGCAAAATGCATCTATTAAATAAGAACATGGAAGAAGGAAATCCTGCAGTGCTTTCTGAATCTGAAATGAATTTGCAAAGAAAAATCTTAATACATTACCTGATGTATGAAAATAGCTGTTATGATACAAATACGTAACTTCCCATTTGGAAAACCCTCTTCAGCAGCAGGCAATAGTTACCCTGCTCACGTGCTCAAAGGAACCTGTTTCACTGCACTTGTGGTGAATTGTGAATCTGTTTTTTCTTCTTAGGCTTCCAGAACAAGCAGGAGCTATTCAGTTTCGGTTGTTTTTGGAGAAGAAGTGAGAAGTAACTAAAGAAAATGACTCTGATTATTTTTTTTGTAATGTTGATAATGGAATCTGCTGCTGGTAAGTAAAAGTCTTGAATAATAGAAGCTTCAAAATATGTGCCAGCTTCTTGGCAGTTGCTTGGAGTAGGATAAGTTTTGTGTTTTGCAACCAAGAACAAAAACTTAAAGGTTTGGCAATTACAGCCCAGCTCCAGACTTGGGAAATCTGTTCCCAAGCGCCAAAATTATGAAATGAAAAAGCAAGGATGCTACCTGGAGAAACCTGATGATGGTTGTATGTGACCATGACTGTAAGAAGAGAAATAGAAAACAAATCTGCTTCTTTGTGTGCCATTCAGAAGTGTGGTCACAATGGTTGCTAAACAACAATAATCTCTGAGAAGCTCAGGAGAAAGAGACTGAAGGCTGATTTTATTTTTGACCCTTAATCCTAGATCATGGTTCCTTTTCTGTACTTTTAATAACTTCTGTATGCAAAAGTAAATTTGGGAAATTTGTTTGGAAAAGCAGACTTGAAGGCTAAATTTTACACACATAACCTCATTCCAAGGCAGCTTTCCAAAGATTTGAAGTTTTTCAGAAGTATATCTATATAATCATTTAGTTTTAATTAAGAAGGTGAGGAAATGCAAATGTTAATTTGTAGGATCTGTGCTTTTATCTCAGACATGTTTGTCAAGTCAAACCATATGTGAAGAATTTCTCCTTTCCTCTTCCATTTGTGGCAGCTGCTTCACTGTAGAGTGAGGCTAGATTCTGTCCTTTGAACCAATTTGATTTGGACACTGTGGAACTCCTGGGAAAGAATCATACAGACAGGGAAATGTCCTTTTATTTTCAGCTCCCTTTTCCTTCTGGTGCTTTTGTAAGATAGAGTAAAGGCTTGGAAAACTGATTTTTTCACTAAATATAACAGGAATAAATAAATAAATAAATAAATGCTTCCAGACCATTTTTCTGAAAGAAGCATTTTTATAAAATACCAGTAGCACAGCAAATCACTTTAAAGTCAGGCTAATGCAATTTTCTGAAATAAGTACTTGGCTTCCTAATGTATCTTTTTACCCTTTTCTCTGAAGAGAAGCTGTGCCCCCTTCGTGCCTCCATTGATATTCTAGAAGGAGAATATTTTTTCCTTTGTTATCTTGAGTCAAGGCAAGAACATTTTCAGGAAGAAGCATACACAATAAATTGGTACAAAGAAACTGCTGGAAAGCAGCAACTGATAAAGGAAACAAGCAGAATTGTTTCACAAATGAATTTTCTGGAGTTTTGGCCAGCTGAACTCAGTGACTCTGGGAATTACTCTGTCATTCACAGGTGGGTACATAACACAATGGGGAAATGTCTTGCCTGTGCACATGTCTATGATGAAGATAATTTCTTTGTTTTGTTTTCTATAGCTAGTGGCATCCATATAAAAGGGGCTTAGGGAACTGCATTAACTGCAGTGTCATTTCCAACTTCATTTCACAATAACTATCAAGGTGGACCTGTAATATTTATAAATATCTGTAGGGAGTTTCAGCCTTTTAAATGCTCTGTAAACCTTTTGATAAGGCAGGTGGCATTTTTTCTGGCTTGTGATTAATTAGCTAAGCAAAATGAGTGTCAGACAACCCTTCTGTCCACTGCCAAGAGAAAGGAAAAATTTGCTTGTCTTCTTGCCTTTGCTTGTCTTCCCTTCCCAGCAAGACTTGCTCTTGCTTGCTGTGTTGAGTGGATCTCATGCTATGAGGCTTGCCAAATCATCTAACTGTGTATTAAAGGTTAAACATAGCATAGCTGAACTCTGCTTTCTGTGCAAATCTTTGCCTGCATGGAGCCATTTAAAGAACAAATGAAATAATGGGATTTGATTTCTTACTGCTGTAGAACATCATGGGTTAAAAGGAGAAATAGGGATGGGCCTCCATTATTTGCTTGCAATCTTCATTGGAACACCCTGAAAGACTAAAGGATTAAAACAAAGGTTTGCTGCACAGAGTTCTTATGACTAACTTGCACTAAACCCATAGTTCAGCATTTACAGTTGAAACATTAATACATTTGAAGCAGATTACCTTGCATGTAATGATTTGTGCTGTTCTCCAAGTAATACTTTTAAGGTTCTAGTCAGGTTTGTAAAGGGTATGGGACTATGGATACTAAAAAAGGCTCTCCATGTTTTTCCAGAAATATTGCAGACTCAAGTTTGATAGTTTACAGCTCTAAGCTAGACTTCAATTGTTAACTTCCAAGTCAGCTTGGAAGCTGAAAACATATTTTTAAAATTTTTAAAATTTTTTCTATGTATCATTACTGTTATCTCCTTACTGATAATATTTTAATAAGTAATACTTACGGTACATGAAGTGCAAAATATTTTTAATTTTAGGGTAAATACTGAGAAAAATTTTATTCATCTATGTTAAATTCAAGAGGATTTTCTTTAAGGATGATGAATATGGTAGCTTGTCTAGTTTTGTTGTGTTCATCAGTTGTCTATATGGTCACTTCACAAAAAAGCTATTAAATCTAAAAACTTGCTCTAACGCCACCTAATCAGTGGCACAAAATGCAGACTGACTAATTTAGGCATGGAGAATGATAGGTGGAGGTCATACCTCAATTGCCAGGCTACTGAAGGAGACTGCCATGAGTCTAAAATACAGGGCAAAAAGAAGAGAGCTATGATAACCCAAGCCTTAATTCACGATCATTGTGGTCTTCTGATTATTTTAAGGTCTTGGGCTAATGACAGTAAATCCACAGTAAATCATAAGAATTCTATAAAATTATTATGAAAAAGTGTGAACCTCAAAACTGAAGGGAACAGCCTTACATATAGAAGAAGTATGATGACAGG